TTATTTGCTAATTTTAATTTTATTGAGGGGCAACGTCTAGTGAATTAACTAGAAAAATCAACGGTATCAAGTTCTGTGCTTTATGGCCAAATACTTATTGAAGTGGAAAACTTTTGAAGAAAAGCATGCGACGATTTGCGACTCAACTCACGAATAACTGATAAATTTAAGTATAAAGTATTATATTCAAATATTATAGCATTTTATTTTGGTTGATAGTTTTGTAAACTGGTGTAGAGAAACAAGTAGGAAAACGAGTAGTAGATGCTGAAGAATTTCCGCATTGAATAAAAAAGATAAAGCAGTTACAAGAGCCCATTACAAGGAGTGCCATGGCGTTGTCATAGACGTGTTTATTTTTAGATTTGTCTTCAGCCTTCTTTTCATTAGTAATCTATTTGTTACCATTTATTTCGAAAGACTAGAACTGCTAGAAGAAAACTCGCTTTCATTGTCATTCGCCATGTTTCTTTATTATTTTATTTTGGTGACATGCCTGAAGTGGCTAATGAAAGTGAGAAAAATCTAAAAAAATCGACACATTTAGAAAACGCTGTGCATGATCAAACCCAATACACACCATTGGGCTCCTGGCAGTGATAACTATAAAAGCATAACAAGAGTGATAAGTTTTTAAATTTTTGTTTTGGGCACTGTTCAGATGCCTGAAACGACACAAAATGAGCAGAAATAAACTATTTTATTTTTGCAGTCACAGTGAAAACATCTTTTTGGAATAACGATGTCATAAAGAGTTTTTAAAACGTGCTCATTAAATTCCTTGCTTAAAATCATTTTTTTATATCAACGTCATCATGAGGCATGAACGTTGTAAGTTCGGTGTTTTCAATAGTTTTTCTTCTAAAACAGAATGCATTAGGTTAAGAGAATATGACGGAAATAGTTTTTTCCTTCAGAATAAGTTGTAATTATGACCGTTAAAAGTGTGTTACTCTGGACATGCAATCTATGAAATGGACAGGTGTACTGGCCAGAACAAGAGAGAACGTACTTGAGAACTTAAAGAAAACATGTTAGAGCCAACACATACATACTTAACTGCAGAACACGGAATCGGGGTTTTACTATGAACACTGAACTTGTTTTCGTCTTAGCCATCAGCTGTTATAACAATAATGAAATGTTTATTTGTACGGGAAAAAACTAAATAGATTTTAAGAAGACGTTGWAAATGCAATGAGAAAATATGAAGTAGTCTGTCGTATACTGTGAAGGTAGTGAAGACATGAATAATCATGAGACACTTGAATACACCAAAGGAAGCGTAAAAGACTGAGTCGTAAAAGGATTATCTRAATCTTACTTTTACAAAAAGTTATTTGAAACGAGCCACCATTTAAAATACTACATTGTAAATGATATATATTTGGTGTAGTAAAAACTAGCTGATGAAAACAAGAAGAATACACGTTGTTTTTGTAAGTTTATCGCTCGTTCTCAATAGTGAGCACGAAATGTTGTATTTTCTAATTTTTTATTATATATATAACGAGACTTTCATAGCATAACTGCAATAAATGAAAATCGGTATGGTATATTTTCAAATGTGAAAATACCGATACGTCCAATCAGCAGCGCCTATAGCATTTCTGACATGTGACAAATATAGCCATTGAAAACACAGAAAATTACAGTAATCAGCCAATCAGAAAGCGACGTTCACAACACTGAAATTGCTTCTCTCACATGCATGTGATTAAATAATAAAATGKTTTGGTTTTGTCCATTTGATCGTAATAAGACGTTTATATGACAGCGTCACGAAAACTTCAACTATCKGACATTTCTAGTGATTCAATTGTATGACTAATCTTTCTTACAAATTATGAATCAAAATCCAAACGACGATGAGAACGAGGTTTTTTTACCGTTGTATTTGAATGACGCCATCTTACAAATGGCCAACAAAACACGATCACAGCCTGTCCTGACAATGAATCCAAATTAAGGTGCATATTAATCAGATAATATTGAATTATGAATATTAGGACCGCATAGCACTATGATAAYCATGATATAGAAATAAAGGAAAGGAATTGTCCTTAAGAGGAAGTTATTCCGGGAGAAAAACCCTTAAAAAATAAATTAATTGTTAATTGACTCTTATCTTACAACCGTAAGACCAAAAATCTCTTGAGAAAAAAACAAAAACAAAAAAACAAAACAAAACAAAAAAAGCAACAACAAAAACAACAAAAACAAAACAAAAAAAGCTATGAACTAGAGAAATTAGGAATTAATATAATTTCTTCGTTATTMTTTTGTTCCCTATCCAACCATCCATTTTTTTTTAATTGTGGAGCTGATTATCAAAACAAATGGAAGAAACCGAGTATAACGTATGACCATGAATTACCTAATAGTTCTATATCTTTAGACTGTAGAATCATAGAAAACTTCTATATCACTTGGTTGAAATCTAGCTTTACCAGTAAAGAAATAGCAGGGTGATAATGGGTGACAACCAGGCGGGGCACTGTATGATTGCATATAAAACTCGTTATAGTCACTACGTGAGGCCATGTCATCCAAGGTTAGATCGTGACCACTTCCAAATGTTGGGCCTAAGAAACCTGACCGATATATAGCATTGGCTTTGGATTTGACAGGAAGCTTGAGTGGCGAGTAACCATGAATGTTAAACAAAGAAAACAGAAAAGCCTTTGATGAAAACGCGTAACCACCAGAACCTATGAAAATAGTCAATCAATTTAAATCCGTCTCATAAAAAAACAATCTATCAAATCAATCAACCAATTAGTCAGTCAGTTGCCTAGACTCTCGCTGTTTAGTCTCGAGCTACAACGACATTTCCCAGCGAACGTACATTTTTCCAACTTGCGAATCCCATGTTAAGCGTTTGTTGYTTAGCTAATGCATATTGTATGATATGGAACTAGAGAAGCAAGCTTAATGTATATGCATGAAAAAATATTTAGTCATTTTCCCTTAAGTCAGAGTTCTGTGAATTTGCTGACGTTAAAAGTCTCTCTCTCCTCTTGCACCGTCGGTTTCGGTAAATCTTTCGTTATTTCGTCCTCTTGCGAGACTAAACAGCGAGACTTCAAGAATGTCAGTCAGCACTTGTATGGTAACATAAACTTACTTTCCCAGGATGCATCGACATATCCTCCAAATACATCACTTCCAGCGCTGACCAGAGTTACCGTGGGACCTTTACTATCGCAAAGGCGATGGAATGTTTTAGCYTCCCAGCCATCAGTAGAAGCTCGCCAGCATCTTATCCAATGACTTTTGAGCTGATTTTTTAGTACAGGCCGCAAAAATTGTGTCAGCTTCTTGAAATAGTTGATGTTGCTATGTTTACTTAAGATCGCCGAGTTTTTAAGTCCTCCTACACCATGAGAAAATATATTTTGTGAGAAAACTCCKCCTGAAAAATAGTTGACATGGGCGGTATATATAGAATAAAAGGGAATATTTGGAACCATCTTTCAAAATATTTTCCAAAGAAAAGATTCATTTCGTTTCTTTTGATTGGACTTATTTAATCTATATTTTGGTCCTTTTATCAAAACCAATAAGAAAGATTTTTGAAATTAGATGTGATACCTGGCCAACGTTGTGAAATATAAAGTAAATCTACATGACCTTGCAATATGATAAATACTCATTCCTAAATTTGTCTTGATTTAATATGAATATTGTTCATGCTTACTGAATGTGTTAGCTTTGCATACGATTCCGTTTCCAATAAATCCTTTCTTACACTTGCAGGAGTACGAAGCAGGCGAATTTATACATACAGCATTGGGGTCGCATTTACCCAGCTCACAATGATCAAGATCTGCGATAAAAAAWTATCAAGTCTTTTTACAATAAATAATAATCAGGCATGTTGTTAGCATGATATATATGTCCCGGCAGCGATCATCATAGTTATAATTGTTGATCTTACAAGTAATTCTCCAGTGATCATAAAAACAATTGGTTGTTTATTATTGTATAGAGTTTGCTCACTCCATGAAGACAAACGTTGATGGKAAAATGGATGAGAATACGTCAAATATCTGGGTATATATTTGGTGAAAGGGAATAATTCTAGCTACCATAACAAATACAGTGATATCGCCATCATTGATGTCAATCATCCTAGCTTCTGGAAATATAGTTTTTTAGGTTGTTCATCCATACATGTTGTACCCTTGCCCACCCATAGGATTTCTATGAAGGTGGTGGCAGATAGGAATTCCCAGAACAAGATGGCTCTCGATTGCTGTACGTATAGTTATGTCCGAGTGCCCATTCTTGGTTCATTTTCATACTTACCCTCGGCTTCACAATAAGTTCCATTGCCAATGTATCCTTTTTTACACTTGCACTTGTACGAATYTGGCGTATCGATGCACACGGCATTGACATCGCATTTGTTTTCCATAAGACACTCGTTAATATCTACAGGAAACGATCAAAACACACAAAATAATTACCTTCGGATGYGATGGGTTMTCTCAGGGAACTGAACAAGATGGAAAGAGTCGATTGACACATGTCATTCATACCGACTTGATAAATGTAGACAGCGGTGCTATCTCCAGCACAATACTCTTCATTGTGACCACACAATTTGTATTCCTCACCAAAACATCGATTGGATTCCATGGTAGCATTGAGTAGGTCAGCTATARTATCTTTAACACTCCAGCATTCACCTTTGTTAAACAAAATCGAACAAAATGCATATGAAAACATGGTTCATGTATATGAATGTGCCCCTGTTTATATAAACCCCTTACTATTTTTCACATGGCTGCGAGTTTGAAGACACATAAACGGAAGAAGACGATTGGTGAGCGTACGCCATTAGCTGTGATTGGTTATTGAAGATTATAGAAATTCAAGTGGTGCCAATGTGTTATCTAATCACGTATTATACAAACGTAGAATGGAAATTTGCTGACCAGACGCGTATAATTGTTTTAAAAGAGAGATTGTAGCTAATGGTATGGAGTTCGACGTTTCTTGAGTCGGAATAACTCCAGACCCGTTGTTGTCTCCAAGAGAGTCATGATGTTGTTTTTATGTYTTGTTTATAGAACGTTTATATATACCCGATAAAACACGAACTGGAGTTCTATAAACGACTTCTAGAACTTCAACATCCAGAATTAATTGTTATCATTTTAGAAAAAAAGCTAAAAAATGCGAAAACAGTGATAATACAATGTTAAAAACATCTAATGAGCATGTGCATTGTGCTATTTTCTTCTTCCTTAAATCTATTTTTCTTACCATAGTAGTGAACACCAAAGAATTGATATCCGCTTGATTTAGCAACTCTAGCGCATCTACAAGCGATATCATGCTTGTACGTGTCCCAGTTCCACCATTTAACTTGGATTCCACTGAACACGCGTGAGCTGGGGTCACGGTCAGTTGAGATTAAGCTATGTAGAATTAACGATGATCCCACTCTTTTCTTGAAGCACCCCGTGCTTTCTATAATGGGACAAACTACAAACGAGAAAAAAGAAAATWGAAAATATTATTTTTGCAAGCAAGCAAGCAAAGCAAGCAATGCTTAATGTATGCTAGTTAATAATACTTATCAAATTTGCAGCATTCGTTACCTTTCTCAGGCAAAACCTGAAACAAGTAAAAAAACATGGTTCAYCATAAACGTGACCCGAATTAATGTCATTGCTTAATTTTACGGATTAGGGMCCTGGTTCAGACGTCGAGCGTTGGCTAAGTCTAATCTAATTGCTCGTTCATGGCAAATTCACYSCRMGWTRRTMWT